TAGTTAATTTACATTTAATGTTACAGCTCTTCCATAAGGATTGGAGGTATGCCAGAATCCTGCTTTGTAGGGCTAAGTGTGGGCCCAGAGCCTTTGCTGGCATGGGGCTGTTCTGTCAATGCCACAGCTGTAGTCTGACACTAAAAAAAGCGCAGCTTCCCTGTTAAAGGTGGATGTTACTTTAATTTTTTGCAGAGTTACTATTGATCCTTTCCACTGGCACTCCTACCTGCTGTAAACACAGAGGGAAATGAAAGTAGGGCTGCAAAAGTTGAAAACAACAGATATTTACTTCCATTAGATATTGTGAAGCTTGGTTGGACTTTTACCCCCTGAATGCTTGTTGGTTGCTTCATGGCAGCCTACTGTTCTTCACACCATGACTGGGTTTTCTGGACACTTGAGAGATGTACGTCAGTATCAGGAAAACACAGAAGTAAACCCTTGAAACAGTGTTATCCTTTGAACCCAAAGGGTTGTGTGTATTTGAATTTCATTGTAAATAATTAGGGAAAATTGCATATTGGAAGGACCCATGACAACCATTATAAAAAACGGTATTTTGTCTGAGTTTTTGCTGATGTCATGTGAAGTAGTCAGATTGACTTCATATGGGCTGATAGGATACTACTCCTTCTTTCTTTCGTTTATTTTTTTGTAAATCCCTTTCTCTGAATTTCTGTTTCTTTCTCTCTCAGTTTCTCTAGCTACTGTAACATACATAATTTTCTATTTTCACCTCCAAAATTTAAAATACTTTCTTTTTCTTGGTCTTTTCTTTGGTTAATTTCCTATGTGAGAATTATACTTTTGGAAAGCTTGTTTAAATTTTTAAAATGACTGATTTGTTTATGATGATAAGAGCTCCTTTAAAAATAGATTTCACCAAGCAAAAAAGGCTTAAAAATTTAAATTTTGTTGTTAGGAAGAGGATATTCAATTATCATAAGAATTTCTTGATTGTAGATTTCTTTTTTGATTTAAAACAAAAAAGTTCTTCACATCTGAGCTTTTGTGCCTGCTGTTTAGGGGAGACAGGGTTCAGGGTCTTCGAGCCTAATTTTTTTTTGTCAGTTCAAGGAAAAAAACATAATTTTATCCAACTCTATTACTTTAAATGTGCACACACTCTAACTCTTAATTGGTGTCTAACAAATCTCTTAAGTGGCCTCCAGAAAATAGTATGAAAATAGTGGTGGCACTTTAGTATAAACCAACTATTTTGAATGGCAAATATCAAATACTGCTGAGCTGAGATCAGTGTATTAGTCATGTTCTTCCCAGTTAGTTAATTTACATTTAATGTTACAGCTCTTCCATAAGGATTGGAGGTATGCCAGAATCCTGCTTTGTAGGGCTAAGTGTGGGCCCAGAGCCTTTGCTGGCATGGGGCTGTTCTGTCAATGCCACAGCTGTAGTCTGACACTAAAAAAAGCGCAGCTTCCCTGTTAAAGGTGGATGTTACTTTAATTTTTTGCAGAGTTACTATTGATCCTTTCCACTGGCACTCCTACCTGCTGTAAACACAGAGGGAAATGAAAGTAGGGCTGCAAAAGTTGAAAACAACAGATATTTACTTCCATTAGATATTGTGAAGCTTGGTTGGACTTTTACCCCCTGAATGCTTGTTGGTTGCTTCATGGCAGCCTACTGTTCTTCACACCATGACTGGGTTTTCTGGACACTTGAGAGATGTACGTCAGTATCAGGAAAACACAGAAGTAAACCCTTGAAACAGTGTTATCCTTTGAACCCAAAGGGTTGTGTGTATTTGAATTTCATTGTAAATAATTAGGGAAAATTGCATATTGGAAGGACCCATGACAACCATTATAAAAAACGGTATTTTGTCTGAGTTTTTGCTGATGTCATGTGAAGTAGTCAGATTGACTTCACGTCTTGTTGAAGATTTCACCCTCAAACTGATCTTCATGGTAAAATGAGTGTGAATAGTCAAGGTATAGTGATATTTCCTGAGTTGATCTTTTGGTATCTGCGTTAGTAAAGACATACCTATCACTTCTTGCACCTCAGAAAGATATGGTGAAGGGTAAGGAATTCGGGGGTCCTTGATGATATTTCTGTTGAATTTTAGTTTGGTTAATTATTTTTAATTTAATTGAATAAGATGCATTATTTTTCATTTCCTGTCCTAGGATGCAATGCAGAGCTCACCTGACACTATGAAAACAATTGCGTTTCACAAGAGATAGATGTACTTTTAGAGCCCTTAAGATGGAAAGTGTCATATACATATAGAACGATATCACCTGCTCAGTAAAAGTTTATACAGAATAATATCACCAAATAATAAGAATAATAGCAAATGTATGTACTTACCTTTTTCTACTGTGTTATGTCTCCTTAAAGGGATAAATGTTGAGAAAGTGGGGTAGCTCTGAATATAAAGAAAGGATTTCTTTCACTGGTCAAACCTAAGAGCAGCTTATGCAGCTTATGCTCTCAATCTTATTTTGAGCACTTAGCAAAGATACCGAATCATGATATTGCTATACGTGAGGTCACAGTTTTTGTGACATTAAAATTTAGCTTTAAGGTTTTATATCCCATGACTGTGATCAATGTTAACAGGTATGATGAGGAGTGTGTTGCTTGCTCTCCAGAACTGAAGATCAACTTAGAAGCAAGTTATTTTCTGCTCTCATTCTACATTTGGTATAATAAAGAAAAGTCAGTATGTGATGGCTTAAATTAGCTTTCAGTGTTTGCGAAGATGTAACCAGATAATATTTTAATTTAAAAAAAGAGAAAATCTCTAGTTTAAGTAGAAAGTTGGGCTGATTGCACATTCAACGAAAATAACCCATTATATGAGGGCAAAGCACAGAAGTAGTGACTTCCACACAAATGTGTTTTAGAAATTGTGCTGGTAATTACGACATTGATCTTTCTGATGCCATAGTTAAGCAGCATTATTTGGTGCCCTCTCCTAGTATCTTGTGTAGCTGTGTGCTAGAGAGCCCACCCAAACTGAGCAAGATGAAGCAGCTTATAATGGGAAATGTAGCTACCTCTCCATTGCCATAGTAACACCTTAATCCTGGATGGCTTCAGTGGGTTTTCAAATCACTGCATCCAGTTTCTTTGTTAATGTGGACTCCTCTAGCATTTCAGGTTAGAATTTGCCAGCCTGAGCAGTCTGAGAGGTAGACCCCTCTTGTGAAGACTGATACTGGCTGAGTGGAAGCTGGTGGTCAGCATCATAGCAGCAGAGGAGAGCCCAGAGAGCCTTCTGAGTGTGCAGGGCAGGGGGTGAGGGAAGGGAGGGAAGGTTAAACAGTGAAGAGTGACAAGGCATAAGACAACAAAGCTATATTTGATGCATTGTAAACGTATACTGTCTTTTCATCCTACAGGTATTTTTGATGAGGTGTTTTTTATTCTTCTACTACTTGCCAATAATTTTTTTTCTGGAAAACATTGTGTTCAGTAAACCTGAAAATAACCACCGCTCTTTGGGATGTCAAGTGGATTTACCTGTAACTCAGAAATTCCAAAATGTTTTCAGCTAGCAAACAGCAATTTCCCCATCATCTCACCTGAAGGTGATGCAGATGTTTAGAACCTCTGTGCCTACTGCACATATCAGAAACACTAAACATTTCATCTTGATTTCTCTTCAGTACCACCTACTTCCTGGAAGATCTGGAAGCCTTGCATTTACCACTTCAAGTTCTCTGCCAAGTTCCTTTCAAAAAAATTTATATGTGTATTTATTTTTTTGCTCCATTTTTGTCTCACACGTTTATTATATGGTGACAAATGCAGTTTTCTTCTGACACCACATAATAGATGTGTGAAACACACACACATTTTCTACTAAGAGACTGCTCTTTATTTCCTGGCTCCAGTTGCAAAACAGGAGTCAGGGTTAGAAAGGTTGTACCTCTGTCAGATATGTGTAGTCTGCATCCTCAAACTTCTCTAGCTCTTTCTACAGCACTAGGAAAAAATGGTGAATCTAGTGCTTCTGCTTCTGTGTTTCAGTGTTTCCTCCTCCTCAAGCACATCTTTTCTCGATTTTACAGTCAACATCCCCTTATATTGATTATATTTACTCACTTTAGAGCTTGATGCTCTTAATGGGAAAAAAAATAATCTCTCCAGCTCATAAAACAAGTATACCAGGATTCTGACTGCAGGAGGTGCAGCAATTTTAGAGAAACCATCCTCCTACTATTCTGCCTTTAGCACAATGAGAAAACATTACTAGTTCATTTGCTGTGAATTCCAAACACTGTTTTCTCCAGGTCAAGTGATATGTGATGTCCTGCTGTATAGGTAGGTATGTGTAGGTAATGACCAAACAGCCTCTCGACAAGACCGTGGTGATGTAACATTCCTTATTTATATATACCAGCTTTAAGTGTTCTGTATGCTTCTGCAGTGTGTAGGGGGCTGCTGTGAAATACAAAATTAGAGAGATCTTCTGTGAACTAAAGTGGAACGAGACCCATATTATAAGTTAAAACAAAGCCAAGCAAATAAGCAAGCAAAAAGAGAAAACTGAATGTATTATCACTTCCTACTGGATCCAAACAGGCTAGGAATTACATGTGTGAGGCAGTTATTCTGCAGTTACCTGTGTGTGACTGAAAGCAGCAGGAACTATGGTGTTTTCATGTTAAACACAGAGTTCTGTATTGATTTTTTTTTTCTAAAGAATTTTATCCCACAAAGTCCTAGTACTTGAGGTATTCCTGCAATAGAATGACAAATAACCGAGTGACATGCATGAGAAATTTAGAAAATGAGAAATGCTAAACCGTTTTCCAAACAGAGCAGAAACAACACTAATTCCATTAGGCAAGATGGAACACACAAACTGGGCATGCTTTTAGTTTTGAAGCTAACCAGATAACTGTTATCTTTTTAAATGTATCAACTATTGAAGTGATTCCTTTAATGTGAAGCAAACCCACTGATTTTCCTTTCTAAAATTAAAGCATTTACCTTATACAAAGTATAAGAAATGTTACCTGTTGCCTCCACCATTCCTTCTAGGATTACAACAATTTCTAGCTCCTCTTTGGGCAACTGGGCTTTGGAAATCTCCCAGAAAGGACTCTGCTGGTTAATTTCATGGCTGATGATCAGTGGTGAAACCAAAAAGAGACGATCATCCCCTGTGTAATAACCTACGTTGATATCTGTCTGGTTGAGTGGTATAAATTCCCCCTCCTTTGTCTGTTTGGATTTGATCAACTTGGCTCGTATTGATGCCTCTACAATGTGTGAATTCCTAAGGTCTCCTACTCGGAACATTAGACAGAGCTTTCCATCCCGCATGGAAATAACTGCGTTTGTAGAAAAAACCAAGGTTTCTGCCCTCTTCTTAGGTTGGGATATTTTCACAAACATGCAGCCAACCATGAAAGCGTTGACGATAGAACCTAAAACAGACTGCACTAAAAGCAGAATAATTCCCTCGGGACACTTGTCCGTGATGACCCGGTAACCATACCCAATGGTGGTTTCTGTCTCGATTGAGAATAAAAAGGCTGAGACAAACCCATTGAGGTTGCTGACGCATGGGGTCCACGTGCTGTCCCCTATATGATCCATATCTCCTCGCAAGTAGGCAATTAGCCACCAGATCATTCCAAAGAAGAGCCAGGTCACAGTGTAAACCATGACAAAAATCAACAGGTTGAATCTCCACTTGAGATCGACTAAGGTAGTGAAGATGTCGGTCAAGTAACGGTAAGTCTCTCTGACATTCCCGTGGTGGACGTTGCATTTCCCATCTTTCCTAACATACCTCTGGATTTTTCTCTTGGCACATTCTTTGTTTATATTTTTTGGCAGATCCTCTCTAGCTTGTTTGGGCAACTTTGGCTGATGAATAGTGACAGGGCTCTCTATGTCCTGCTCCATTGAGTCTTCTTCCAGTACGTTAGCTGCCATTGAAAACAAACAAACAAACAAGAGAAAGGCAGGCATTATTTTTTCTTATTATATCTCTAAGTCAACACAAAACTTCCTGTATTATGGGCATGAAATTGCTATTAATCAATAAGGTTATTAGCCGTGTTCTTTGTTCATCTATTAAATGCACAACACAAAAGTCAAATGATGTCAAGCATCCTCAGTTTATTGCTAAATAGAAATACTTTGAAGGAAAGCTCTCTTTCTCATTTCTTATCTATCAGGTTATTCCGTCCACACCCATATTTAAATTCTGTAAGATGTGTTCAAGCAGATCTTTCTTCCCTTCCCTCCCCTTTACAGTTTAATAAACTAGGTTTCTTATGCGCCAAGGAAGATCTGGGATACAGCAGATATAACTCAGGGAATGGATTTGCTTGGGGGTTCCAGTCAACAAAATGAGCACAGAAAATGAGCAATTGTTGAGCTGTTTTTTCTATCAATTGCATCGCTATGGGGAAAGTATTAAATAAATATAATTAGTTAAAAAACCCCCAGCATTCTTTAGAAAGAAACAATCCTACTCTTGTTGAGGGAAAAGAAAGATTTAGTATAATATATACCAAGAACAATTCAAGCACATTTCCACAGAAAATCAATCAACATTTCCCTGTGTCTTACAAGCATTTAAAATCCAGAAATGACAATAACTGGTTTGTTGTTTGTTTGTTGTTTTTTTAAAATTTATATTTTTTTTCAGCTTTCCAGGCTTCAGAGATAAATCGTTTAACCATGTTTATGTTTCAGAAAAAAAAATTTACTGAGGAAGAGAATGATTAAATTGAATGGGTTTTGCACAAAGCTGAGTATCTGGGGAGGTCTGGGGTAACTGTTGTCTTTCCACTGAAAACCCTATTGCAGTCTGGCGATTCTTCCTGCAGGGATTTCAGCTCTTAAACTCCTAATTTTCTCCCTTCTGGCTAACTGCTATCATTCTGGTGCCAGGCCGTGAAGGGAAAAACTTCTGCTGGCTTTGCCTAGATGCTTGGCTCTGAGTACAGTAGCACTGATGTGATGTTGTACCATTGGTTTATGGAGATGCTCTTTCTGAATAGCCAAGACATTGACCTGCCTGTGGTCAGTTCACCCTGCAATGATCACAGTTCATGTTACTGCTGTGCAGGCCCAGGTGTGAGCTGCCCAGTCTTGATGTGGGTGGTGATCTTCAAGCAGACAGCTGGGATTAAGCAGCCTGGGTTGGGAAGCACTTCATTTCCTTCAGTTCCTGCTGCCTCTGAGTACCTCTTGCCTGGTTGGGAAAAGGAGGCATAAACCTATCAAAGCTCCTGCTGCACACAGCAGTCCTGTCCCTGGCACCCCATGGGCTTGAGTGTCTCTGCCTGACATTACCCTCTGCAGTAGAACCAAACCCTTTAATGTGGACGAGCTACCAGGGAAACTTGGCCTCTTGTCTAGAGAGAGGGTTGCACAAAGGGCTGCTCTTGGTGGGTCAGTATGGTTTGAAGAGCATTTCAGTCTCCCACTCTTAGAAACATGTGTTATGTAGCAGATCATCTGTAGAGTTTCACAGCTCCTGTAGCTTTTTCAGGATGCACAGACTCATCCCTGTGGAGATAGATCACTGGGCCTTATGAAGTTTTAGGGGTTACTGAAATACCCATGAAAAACTAATGGATTGGAGACTGGTTGTCTCTCCTTCTGGCCAGCTGCCCTGCCAGCCAAGCCTCTGTTCAACTCTGTAGCCTTTTCTGTGTTAAAAAGAAAAAGGCTCAGGCCTGACAGTAGCTTGGAAACCTGATAGCAGTTCTGTGTTTAAAGACTGCATTCCATCCTATGTCAGATTTTCAGTTTGCTGCTGTGTCTAAGAGGAGTGTTATTCAGGCTGATGGTAGAGGCAGCACTAGAAGTCATGTCACTAGGCAGTCAATTCTGAATGAGCTTACCCCAGTTGGTGACAATGTGCCTACTTGCATTATCATTAATGCTGTGTAATGTATGACAAAATGAACAAAATAAAAAGGCATGGCAAGAACTTTGTGAGGCAGAATAAAACCAAAGCCAGAAAATTTGAAGTTAAGGCTTCACACTTTCTGTTTAACTCTCTATTACATCACTGCAAAAATAGACCCTGCAAATACTTAGGAGCAGCCTATGAAAGCTCAGGCATTTGAAGCTTTAATGCAATGTATGTTAGACTAGTAATGCTGGTTTAATGTGGTTCATTATCTTTAAGGCTTTATGAATATTTTGCTCTCCCTTCCAAGTTAAAGCCTGACATGAACACAGAGACAAGGTGCAGGTATCCCTTGTTGCCTTTGAGAATATATCAACTTATGGCCCTGTTATTAAAGGCAACCACATCCTAGACCTCCCTTAGTGTCTCTTACCAGAAATGGCAAATCGTATTAAAAATCATAACATGATTGGAGGAGGCACAGGTGCTGATTTTATTAGTGGTATCAGGAGAAATCTGAAGGTACATCCCCATTCAGGGATGCCTACCACTCACACACTGTACCCATCTAGCCTGCTTTGGATATGATGCCTGTTTCCTGTAGAAGTACTTGCTAGCAGTGAAGTATTTTTATTTAATACAACAAATTTTAGTGATGCTTCCAAAATGGTTTGTTGCTAAGCCCTTGCACATTGTAACCAGCCTTTCCTGTCTTTTACAGTACCTGAGCTAATCCACAGAGAGAAGATCTACATTTTTGTAAGCAACCAGAGGTTTTGTGGCAGGAGCAAGGAGCTGCTATGCTCCCCAGCATATGGTGGCGGGCTGTCACTGTCACTGCAAATGGGCTTCAGAGACCTGCCCCTGCCAAGATGGGAGAATTTCAACCTTGAGTTGTTGCACCAGAGCTGACTCCCATGTGGATATGTAAGAGGGCAGCTTTGGACGACCGAACCTGGTGTCTGCGTTTAACCTGTTTCTCTCAGTATTGCGTCTTGCTAACACTCCTGCAGACATTTTAATCTCCCTGGGAGCATGTAGCCATTTTGCAAATTCTTCAGACTTTTTCAAGTGCTGTCATTTGTCAACTCTCAGGCAGTCTCTGAGCAGAAAAAATAAGTTTTTAATCTTTATCTCTTTATTTAAGATGCTGTTTTACTCTT